TGGATGGCGGGGGCCGGCCGGGGCGCCCACTCCCCCGCAGCTGGTCTCCAGGAGGCTGTCCCCCACCTGCAGGGACGCCATGCCGAAGTCCGCGATCCGGATGTTGTTCTTCTCGTCCAGCAGGAGATTTTCTGGTTTCAGATCCCTGTGGCTGTGAGGGAGGCAGCGGAGGCTGACCTGGGTCCCTCCCCCAAACCCCACCCACACGGCACCCGGCCAATGGCAGCACAGCCTGGTGATGTCACAGGCAGCCAATCGGAAGTCGCCTGCCTGGCGGTTGGTTGCAGGTCTGGGATGGAGGGACTGGAGCCTCTGGTCGCACCGCGTGCTCCCCCAGGCTCGTGAGCAGGGATCCCTCCCACTCCCTGCTCCCCCCACACCTGCTCTGGGGCCAACAGGGGGGTGTCTGCTGGCGGGACAGCTAGGCGTGGGTCACGTGGGGGCGGCTCGCACCAGATGGAGTGGCTGTGGCAGAAATCCAGCGCGGAGATGATCTGCCGGAAGAACTTGCGGGCCTCTTTGGGGGTCAGCCTCCCCTTCTTGACCAGGTAGTCAAAGAGCTCCCCACCAGACACATGTTCTAGCACCAGGTATCTGCGGGGACGGGCGGGCTTCAGGTGGGTGCACACGCCTGCTGGCCCACCTCAGGGCCATCCTCGGCATGAGGGGCCCCCCGCTTGACCCCCTCACCCCACCCCACCTGGCAAGCCTGCCTCCAGGGCAGCGACTGGAGGAGCCCATGGTGCCAGGGTCTGGGAGCGGGGCCACACCTGGCCCTCCCGCTGAGGGACCATTAGGCCCCAAGGTGAGTGAGCACTGTGGCTGCTGACCCTCAGTGAGCTGGTGCGTGGCCCTCCAGGCCCTGCCCAGCCCAGGTGGGGCTCCCGGAGCAGGGGGACAGATCAGGGACCCTCAGGGAGCCCCAAGGCACAGCACAGGCCGGAGGTGCCCTGCAGGCGCCCTGGCCCAGTGACCCAGGCTTGCTACTGCACCTCCAGGCTGACACCTGAGCTGTCTTGGGACTTCTGACCCATGGGAGGGGGCTGGCCCCAGCAGGACCTGGACCAGCCACCTGTCTGCCTTCATCCTAGGCATCCTGCTCCCGCCACCAGGCCTTTGCCAGAGCTATATCCCCTCCTCGGGCTGTCCTCCCAGCCCAGTGATGGCGAACCTTTTGAGCTCGGCGTGCCAGCATTTTGAAAAACCCGAACTTAACTCTGGTGCCGTGTCACATATAGAAATTTTTTGATATTTGCAACCATAGGAAAACAAAGACTTATATTTTTGGTATTTATTTTATATATTTAAATGCCATTTAACAAAGAAAAATCAACCAAAAAAATGAG